AACACAGTACTATGCTGAAGCTTATCTGTTAGGGCCTGTGGCAAAGGTACTACAGTCCAGTAAAGAATCTTACAAATGGCATAAGAAGCAAAGCATCAATCCAAGAGCAAGGAGTAGATCATACGTGTATGCAAATACACTTTGCTGGAGCCCAGAGGAAAAGCTGTCTAGCAAGACAGAGAGAGCCACCAATGGGAGGAGTACCATTACCTCAGCTAAAAACAGTCCTCTAATACACAGGCAAACCAACCAACCTTACATTAACCTTATTTAAGGCTTTAAAGTGGTTTCTCACTGCTTCAGGAACCACAGTCACTTATCAAGTTCAAATGAGAGATTAGTTGTGCAAGAATAAAAGAAAGCAGCCCTGTCCTGAAGCCCAATTTCTGCTTAGGCTCTTCTGGCACTTGAAGGGTCCCCAGCAAGCACAAGGAAGTCACAAGCACCAGAACAAAAGCAACAGGGCAGCACAGTTCCTAGCACACACAGCTTCAAGCTGTGTCTTCTCAGTTTAATCCAGAGCACTTTTGGCATGCAGGTTCAGAGATTTGTGCTCTTCTGCTGACCCTGAAGGACTGTCAGCTGGTGCCGAGTGTCATACACTGCATTTACACTGTTAAACTAATGTACCTAAGAGGAATTGCTTCCAAAGGTCCCAATTACTTGTACTCCCACAGTTTATATTTTATTAAGTCTTTGCAGCATTCAGCTTTGAGGTGGGGAAGTTACAAGCATTACTACAATCAATACTGACCATAGAGTACCTCTATATAGCAGCACCTATCAGATCCAAAAAGCACTGCCTCCAAATTAAAGCTGGTGACTGACAAGAAAGGAAGTTCTAAATTCCATCTGTACAAACACCAGGAGGGGATTTTGGTTTATTTTGCTTTAAAACCAAGCAGGGATTCACAGCCCGTTAGAATATAGCAATTCTATTAATAACTACTTAGACATTCGTGCTGTATCAACAGCCTCCAGCTCCACCTGCTGCTCCAGCAGGGAGACATCTGGGCAGAACCTCATGGCAAGCCAGCATGAAAATCATGAGACTAGCTCCAAGGTCTCAAGCGGGAAAGGTCTGGAGGGGGATAAGACAGGCCCAGCTATAGAGTAATTTGTTTCCCTGACACTCTTGCAGTTGCCCAGAGCATTGCCAGAAGCCAAGAGAAAGCTAACACAACAGGTCTGCACCATACCTGCAAGTCACAAAGCACAGCAATGACCCTTCGTCATCTGTGACCTGGTCAGTGCTTGGGGAACTGATCCAACACAGAGGCAGGAGCAGGATGTATCCACAGTGAGGACAGTGTCAAAAGGGAAGCTGTGAGAAAGCAGACTCTGGACTGGAGGAAAAGCCTTTTCCATCAGTCAGGAAGTGGGATGTAGCACCACCATATTGCAGCACCCCTCCAAACAAGGTCCACAGGCAACACAGCTGCCAATTGCAATGCTCAAGCACCAGAGGTACAGGCCCACTTAGCAAAGCACCAGAAGCCTTACCACTGCCCTTACAACTACACCCAACTTAACCTCCCAACCCTCCAAGGCCACGTACTCACATCCCACCTCATAAATCCCAGGAACATGAGGAGGACAAGGCTGACAAGCCACCCTGCCGTCGCAAAGGCCTTCGGCATGGTCAGGGCTCCTGTTCCAACGATGAGGTTGAACATGTAAACAAGACCAACCTGAAATCAATCACATAATCCAACATGAGAGCTGGCAGCCATGGCAGAGATCATCCCAGACACCTCACACATGTACTGATTTAAATGGAGAGCAATCTTTGAGCAAGCAGGGTGGGAGCAAGCCCATGCTACAAATATAGGTAAGAGGGGACTGATAACCAAAGTGAATGTCAGCACGTTTCTGGAGAAACTGATATTCATATCCATCTTTCTAATTATTTTTAATGTTTTCCTTTCTAGCTTTTAAAGTTAGAAAGGATGTGAACTGTTTCTTTGTTTTCAAATCCACTGCCTTCTGTCAGAAGAGTCTACACTACGGGTTGGGGTCTGTCCTGATTTTCTGACCTAAACCTAAGTAGTTAGGTTCATACATAAGTTACCTTTCAGAATCTCTTGTTCCTCTTTATTTAGTCAAGCATAAAACATCCAAACACAACTCTAATGCAAAGCCTGCTCGTTATTTTAAAACACTCTGAAGAAGAGATTTTACTTCTGAAGGGAAAGGATTTTCTCCTCTTTGCCAATGAACTTTTTTCTGCCTAAAGGCAAAAGAGAATTGTGCACCTAGACAGGACCCCCTGGACTATAAATTCAGTTGAACTCAGGGTCAAAAATTGCCTCAAAGTTGGTTTGTTTGGTTTTCATACTTAAATGTATAGGTCAGAGCCTCTCCAGGGGCCAGCCAGTAAAGAACTGTGTCAGAGTACACTTTTCTAGCTGTGGAACAAGTAATATCAAGAGAACTAGTCCCCCGTGAACACTCCTGCCCTTCATTCCCCAACAAACACAGCAAATTCATCTTCTGACCAGTCCCCCAGAATGACAAGTCAGCTATTGCAGCTTGCAGGAAAGCTCTTTCCATTCAGCTGGCAGAGCTGTCATTCCTCAAGTGCTCAGGGCCACAATACACTCTGCAGTGAAGGACTCCTGTAAAAGCACCTCAGGTGATTCTCCTTAACTTTGGTCAAGTTGACAGAGATCAGAGTGGTGCCCATGTTCAATCTGGCTAAACACCTTCAGGGAAAGATGAGAGTCACAGCCTTTGAGATGAGGCACTAGGAAATTCATGCAGCACTAACGTAACAACATAAGAGCAGGTGACACTAATCCTTTAGGGTCTGGGCGCCCCAGTTATTGTCTTGTTCTCCATCTTCTCAGTTGTGACCTATTTCTGCAGCCTAATATCCAGTTCTGCTAAATTCAATCATTAACATAGGGATGAAAGGATGAAAGTTTTAAAGCATTTGAAAACCAACACACAGGTTTCAGGACTGGTTCTGCATTTAGTGAATTCACTTTAGAAAGAAAAACAAAGAGAGTTTGCCAAGCACTGGTTTTAAGAGCTGACACTATATGAATACTTGTGGCTATGAAAACCAGTATTTCCAGTAACATAGGAAAGCACTAATTGGCTCTGCAATTTCACAGAACACCACATATACAAGGAAGAAACATCCCGATTACTCATTTCAAGTGAAGTGGTTTAAAAGTAATTAGTACAACAGCTAAAAATAAGTAAACTTTACATAATGTTTTCCCCTGGGTTTCTTTAAGCAAAAAGAAAGCAGCAGCAAAGCGGGATAGTTTCAGTGCCTCACACACCCCCATGTTTGTGCTAGCTTCACGGCACAATTTGGGCTAGGGAAAACATAATGGAAGTCAGTAGAAGGATGCAAGAGCTAGTATGGGATATGACACTCTTTTAAAGACTTTTAAAACTATACCTTAAGCAGACATTATCCCCTTATATAAAGGGTGACCTGTAAGCATTTTTAATGACCTTTTAGCCCCCACCATCTCCTGAAACACTGAAGTTATGTCCACGGGGAGGTAGGAAACGAAAACACAATGCTGAGAGAAGAGGATCTGGAAAACACTTGTGAGCAAACCCACAATGAGCCATACTTACATAGGGAGAGTACAGCTCTCCTGTATCCGTGATGCCGCCAGCCATGCTGAATGCGGTGGGGAGGCTTGGAGCAGAGTGAGGAGGGTGTTTTCAGGAGGGTGCTTTCAACTTCTCTTGCCTTTAACCTTAGGAAACATCATGAAGTTGTGTTAGCTTTGTCACGGGAAGAACTTGCAAGTCAGCTTTTGCCCATCAATCTTGTGATGTTTGAACAAAAAAGGGCCTCAGCAGGACTTTGTGCTCTGGATACAGCCCACTCACCAGCACCACTTGGGTCAGCACAAAAAGCTCTCCCACCTGTTAAACTAGTTTAAAAGGGACCAAAAAGCCCTGCCCTTCCACAGCATGTGATGACCAAACTTTTCCTTCCCCAAACAGCCAGAGGGGCCGTTTCAGACACTAAAACCTCAAGAGGAAGAATGCCTGCCTTGAGGTTGAGCCCACACCACTGCTTCTCATGCAGCTACTACTCATAATAGCAGGTGTCTCCTGCAAATCAAAGCAGGAAAACCAGCCCCCAGTCTCCTTTATAGTCTCAAGGAGAAAAATACATAGACCTATGAAAAACACCCCAAGATGTTTTGTTACACACACCAAGGTTTCCAGAGCAGAAGTACTTAAGGAACTTCACATTGTGTTAATAAAACTTTAAGAGGAAGTGAGGCCCCAAGCCTTCTGAAAGGCTTCAGGGTCAATAATTACCCACAGTTGAATTGTTTAAGAGTTTTATCAAACTCCTTATACTTCTACATAAGTTTCTACCCTGTTATGCCAACTGGGGCAAATCACCAACACAGCTTCACAAGCTAAAGGGACCAAACAGCCCGTAAGCTGTATAAACATGGGCCCATGTATAAATACACCCCCAGCTGACAGCAGCCCATCAGCATCACTGCTCCCAGCGGTCACAACTCGGCCGGCCCTCGGGGGGAGAGGCCAAACACCTTCATCTATCCCAAACCCGCACTCAAGTCCCCGAAGCCGAGCTCAGCAACCCGCGACAAGGCAGAGGGACCACGGCCACGCCAGCACCCACCTCCGGGATGAGCGCGCTCCTACCGGGCACCCACCCCAGCCCGGAGGGGCCCTGCCAAGGCCTCCAGAACCCCCAGCCCAGACGCTTCCCCACCACCCGGCAATGCCGCCCACCCTCCACCGGGGAAGCTCCCATAGGCCCTCATACAACACCTAGACGCCTCCCATCGCTCCGGTCCACACCGGGACCCTCGCCCCGGCCCGGCCCTCGCCATGCCCCGCCGCACCCCTCACCTCACACCGCGACCCCCGGCTCCACATCGCGGGGCGCTCACGGAGCATGCGCCCAGCACGGGAGGGGGGTGTGGGGTGTGGGGTGTGGAGGGGGAACCTTCCGCACACGTGACCGTCTGAGGGGCGGGGCCGTGATGACGGCGCTGCTCGGGTTCTGCGCTTGCGGAAGGGCGACGGGGCCAGGTAGACATGGCCTCCGCGGCCGGGGCCTCAACGGCGGGCTCTGCTCCCCCTCAGCCTCGATCCTCTTCAGCCCCGGTGTCCCCTTAGCCTTGATCCCCCTTCAGCCCCAATGTCCCCTCAGCCCCGATCTCCCCTCAGCCCCGATGTCCCTTTAGCCCCGATCCCTCTCAGCCCCGATCTCCCCTCAGCCCCGATCCCTCTCAGCCCTGATCTCCCCTCAGCCCCGGTGTCCCCTTAGCCCTGAACTCCCCTCAGCCCCGATCCCTCTCAGCCCCGACCTCCCCTTAGCCTCGATCTCCCCTCAGCCCCGATCTCCCCTCAGCCCCGATCCCCCCCCCAGCCCCGGTCTCCCCCCAGCCCCGGTCTCCCCCCAGCCCCGGTCTCCCCTCAGCCCCGATCTCCCCTCAGGCCCGATCTCCCCTCAGCCCCGATCTCCCCTCAGGCCCGATCTCCCCGCAGCCCCGGTCTCCCCCCAGCCCCGGTCTCCCCTCAGCCCCGATCCCCCCCCAGCCCCGATGCCCCCTCAGCCCCATCTCCCGCCAGCCCCCTGCTGAAGTGCTGTGTTAAATACGAAGCGTTAAGTGGCCCTCGTCAGGGCAGACCCCGGCCACCGGCACGGCTCCGAGGGCGCCGATGGAGCCCTGCCCTGAGTGGGGGGAGCAGGGAGATGCTGTTGGTCCCTGTGTGAGGGCATCGGTGTGAGCTGCACACAGGGAGAGTGACCGCTGCTGCATCCCGAAGGGCTCCAGGGACTCCTGAGCCATCCCTTGGCCTTGCTGGAGACACAGAGTGGGTGCTGACTGCAGAGGCCATGAAGATTAACCAGAACACGGTGCTGCGAGGAAAGAGGGCAACCCTGGTGCCGTACATGTCTGCGCATGTGCCCCGGTACGTGGCTCGTGTCCTCTGATGCTGTTGCACGGTCTGATCTCATTTCTCTGTTTAAAGGACACGTGGTGGTCAGAAGAGGTTCTGGCTCGGCTGCTGCAGGGCTTTTTCCCCCCTGGGAAACACACAGCAGAAGGACTACTCAGAAAAGCTATCAGTTCTGCCCTTCATGCCTGGCAGCAGCATCCCTGACAGGTCTGTGCTCTTTGCCAGGTCTGCTGACAGAGGACTTCATGTGTGTGCCCATGGAAAGGGAAGAACCTGGCTGTGAGTGAGCCACCAACAGTTCTCTTGATGTCTTTCCCTAATGACAGTGGAAGAGCAAACCTTCAATGTATAAAGCCAGATGGATGTTTGATAAATTAGGAGCAGGCATGAAGGCAATTTGTACAGTGCTGACCCAGGCAGCTGCAGCCTCAGCACAAAGATGCCAGTATTAGTCTTTTTGTCAGTGGCCAGGAGATGCTCTATCAATCTCAGTCGGGATGAAATGCGCCGGAACTCAGTGCTCAGTACTTTTAAAGACATCAGTCACTCTTCAGACAAAGCCACAGGATGGCCAAACTTGCTGCATTTCCACAGAGAACACCAAGTCCTGTGTTAGATAAGGGAGAGAGGCTTGTGGATGCTTTTTAAGTTGCCATAAATGCCAGGCTGGTGTTTCCAGAACCAGCTTATGACAGTCTGATCCTCAGAGCGCTCATGGAAATCAGACTGTGATGCAGTAGCTCAGGCAATGATGTGGTTTTGGGTCCCATTGCCAGGTACCACGAGTGGATGCAGTCAGAGGAGCTGCAGCGCCTGACCGCCTCCGAGCCCCTCAGCCTGGAGCAGGAGTATGAGATGCAGTGCAGCTGGAGGGACGACACAGACAGTGAGGACCTTAAAACACTTCTGAAGGGGGGGTGGGAGGAGAGAGCGGGTCCCTTCTGTCCTATGAAGGACCCACAGTGGGCTGAGAGCACCCAGTGAGTGGGTTCTACCTGCTTTGAACTGCTTTTTTGTTTATAGCTATGCTCAGGGAAGTAGAGAATGTCTGGGGCTGCTGATGTCCTTTTTATGCAGTTTTTTAAAGATTACAGTGATTTATTTCCCCCAGCTTTATGTGCTGAGCTGCTCCTGCACAGTCAAAGCTCCCCAGGTCTGATCATCCTAAAAAGGTAGAAAGGAGTTATACTTTTCCTTGAGAAATTGAACTGCTCTAGAATTACCCAGTTGAGGTGTGCTGGAATTGGTTCCCTGGCTCTCCTACAAGTAATGAATCACTGCCCATAAAAGCCTGGTAAAAATATAGCGAGCCAGAAAATAGTGAGGCTGACAAAGACCTCAGTGTGGAGCATTTGTCTTAGCTGGCATTAGAAGCCATACTTAAAGTAGCAATAATACAGACTAAATGAATCACTAGGTCTCAGCCTCTTGTGAACCAAACAGTTCTTTGCCTGAACTTGCTGCTGAGTGAGACAAGGCATGGAGACCTCAGGCTGGAAGTTTCCGTGCTCTTTAAATAGGCTGTTTCTAATCTTGGTGCCTGCACCACCCTCACAAGGGGTCTTCAAAACGTTTTGTACATCTTGATGGATGGGAGCAAGCACACTGGTATGGGAAGCTCAATTATAAGCTCTTCCTCATTGTTAACACATGGAAATCTGTTGTTCCTCTGTCCATTGCATGCCTTTAATTTCACCCTGCAATAATGTGTGCCCTGTAAACTCTGCTATGGTTTTGTTTTTTCCCAGAGTGTACCTTCATTGTGCTGGACACAGAGCGGTGGCCCGGGCAGGCGGATGAGGACTGCATGGTGGGGGATGTGAATCTCTTCCTCACTGACCCTGAGGATCCAACTTTGGCTGAGATTGAAATTATGATTGCAGGTCAAGTTGTGCTTCATAGCTTGGACCTTTGTTGCTGTGGTTGAAGCCAGCTGCAGACAGAGGTTGTGTACAGACGCTTTTTAGTCTCATTGCATTACTGTGGCTGTTCACTCCTGAGCAGCATCCTTTGCTGGTCCCAGGTCATAGTCTCTTCTGCAGTGTGGCATGGCTGATTTGTCTCACCCAAGTGGATGCTGACTTCTGTGGCTGTCTCTTTCAGAGCCCAGCTACCGAGGCAGAGGATTTGGCAAGGAGGCAACTCTGATGATGATGTCCTATGGTAAGGGTGGCTCAGTGCCTGGCAATGGGAGTACAGTTGGGATGTGATCTAGAAGCACACATTCCCAGTGACACAGGCTGCCTCTGCCCCAGGAATTGGGAGTTGTGTGCTCTCATAGATGTTGCAGCCAAGCAGGTAACAGAAATTCTTGTCTGATTTCTCTTGCAGGTGTGAGAAACCTGGGGATCACCACATTTGAGGCTAAGATTGGTCAGGAGAACGAAGCCAGCATCTGCATGTTCAAAAAACTTCATTTTAAAGAGGTAAGAGCCCCTCTTCTACCCAGAGAAGGTGAGCAGAGTTAGCTCTGAGGCTGGGATTGAGCTGCTTTCCTTCTGTGTGATACAGGTTGCTGTGAACAGCGTTTTCCAGGAGGTGACACTGAGGCTGGATGTCAGTGACCAGGAAAGACGTTGGCTCCTGGAACAGACAAACCATGTGGAGGAGAGGAGCTACGTTGAACAAGCTGCCAGCTGAGGTGCTGGAGACCTGATGGACACATCCAGACCCTGGCCTTGTTTCGAGGGAGGAGCTGGACGCTGTTGTGAGCTCTGGGTGTGGAGGACAGCAGTGAGCCAGCGCTGAGTTTGACTGTTTTCATGTCTCTTTGGTTACTTTGTCATCTTGTCAACTTTGCACCTTGCTGAACCAGCTGGGATTACTGCCTGAGATCGGGACCTGGAGAACAGCCACTAATTCACAGGCTTGACTAGGAATGACTCTAACTTCAGCATACTGTTCCAGCAGAGCCTCAAATCACCAGCAGTCAATTGATTTCTGGTGCCACCAGTTTGTGGGCAAGCAGCACCTGCTGTTCCTTTTCCACTGCCCTTGGAGCAGGGTTTGCTGGTTAGACACAGGCAGGCTCAATCAGTTTTCTCTTGCATTAAAGAGATGACAAAGATCTGAGAGGCAGTGGGGCTGGGCTGCTCACTTTGGCTGCTGTAAAGGACAGCACAGACTCTTTGAACCCTATTTTCTGGGGTGCAGGGGGACACTGTGGGGTCCTGGAAGTGAGAAGCCCACATGTTGTATGTGATGAAAACTATTGATATCAGCCGAGACTAGAGCAGAGCCCTGCCAGGATCAATCCCTGCAAACAGGGGGACTGGCAGCTACAGGACCTGGGAGCAGGAGGCCACCAGCAGAGAGATACTGCACTGTTTGACCAGGCTGCTTTTATGAGAGCAGGGAGAAGGAGAACACACCTGAAAGGAGATAGAATAGTGATCCCTTCTTCAAGGACCTCAGGACTTGCTCTGCTGAGCCTGAAGTCTCCGTTTGCTGCTCTCCAGTAAGATGAATGGGGATGGAAATACCTGTTTCAAGCAGCTCGCCAGCCTCCGCTGTGGTGTAGCTGAGGTCCGTGGCTGAAGAGGAGGCACTTGCCTGACTCCCCCTGGACAGAGCTTTTAATGCAGTTATTTAGCCTGACCCTTCCTACCCTGCACAGCGTGTCCTCCACTGCACGGGAGCTTGCTAAGAGCAAGAGGATAGAAGGAAAGGAGGATAACTGACGCTCATGTGTTTTACTGCTGGAATAGCAGCCGTAATGGCTAATTCTAGGTCCGAAATTATGTGTTCCAATTACACAGTATCAGGTAATAGCTTCCAGATTTGCCCAGGGATGTTTTTATCAGACTGTGGAATTTTTAGTGTTGCTGTGCCTTTATTTTTAGGGCCTGGGGGATTTAGTTCTCCAATTTTAGTTAAACACATCTTTCCTGTGACTAATATTAAAACCAAGCGTGGGAGCAGTGTATCATGGTCTTTTAAACAACAAGCATTCAGCGTGGATTTAGTTGTTGCAAAAGCTTTGTAGTGTAACGAAGTGAAGAGCTCCTTCCAGATAGGATTACCATGACAAGGGCTACTAATCCTTGTGCTGTTGTCACCTGCAGCAGGCAGGAAAGCATTGTGTGCCCACAACAAGGTTTGCAGAACCTGCCTGATGAACTGCTGCCTCTGTGCTCCTTCTGTTCCATTCCTCTGCCAAAGGAGCAGGGTTGGACTGGCAGGAGATGGAGCTGGGGTGGGATTCGCTCCCCTAAAAAGTGACCAAGGTGGGGAAATGATTTCATTCCACCTCTGCTGCAGGGTGAAGGGGGCACAGTGGAGCTGTGCTGCCCTCCCTGGTCCTGCCATGGCTCCTGGTGCCCTGCCGGTTGCTCCGGAGCCAGTGAGTGCCCTGCTTGGCATCCCCGGTCCCCCGGCAACATCGGCGCCTCAGTGGGCCTCTGGGAAAGCCTTCTCCTGGCAACCCCAAACAAAGTTGGGTCTGTCCCCAACACAGGCTGGGGGGGGGGGGGCTGGGGGGGCTCAACCAGGTCCCCAGGCTGCTCTTACTGGGAGAAGAGGTAAAAGATGCTCATGGGACTTGCTGGGTGCCCCCAGTCTTGCCCCATACAGGCAGCTGCTGCCCATGACACCCAGGCAGGAGGACACTGTGCTTGTCCCCAGGGGGATGAGGGTGGGCAAAGAGGGGAACAGGGGCTCACCTCCACTCACTGTCACAGAGCACAGGACTTTGGAGGATGAGGCAGGTTGAAATGGGCTTCCCCAGCTTCCAGAGAGCAACAGCCTGCACATCACTCACAGATGTGGTGGCACTTTGTCACTTGGCTGTCATTTGAGCTGCAGATCTCTGCCACCACGTGTCTGCTCAGGTAGAGGAGCTCTCCTGAGTGTTTGAAGCACAAAACAAGAGGGACAGAGGAGAGAAGGCAAAGATGTTGGGGGTCCACAGCACACCACAGTCACTGCTCAGAGCACAGTGACACTGCCTTGTCCTGCACCAGCCATGGTGCCCCCAGCCCATTCCAGCCACAGGACCATCATCACCTCCCTGTTGAAGCAGCGCTCTGCCCTGCTTTCCTCTGCTCCCCTCCCCAAACAGGATAGAACCAGCAACCTGGGACAAACACCCTCTTCCCCACTGATCCCAGCTGCCTTCCTCAACCCAGGGTGCAATGCTGGGGGCCTCAGGCTCACCCCAAATCCCCCCCGGAGCACCTGGGGGCTGATTTGGTTGCCCTCAGCATTACTGCCAGGCCAGCAGACACAGATTAGAGCCTTGCATCACCCCCACACACACACTCCAGGGTGGGGGATTAGAGCCCTTTAATCATCCTAAGGCATTAACCCACACTGCAACCAGCCAGTCCTTGTCTGACCCCCACACCGGGCACTATGGGGCCCCCAAACCAGCCTCAGTGTCCCCCACCCCTGGGAGCATTACTTGCCTCTTCCCCAGCCCCTGCAGCACAGCAATGAGCCCCACACAGCCTGGGGCTGCAGGAGGATTTAGCTTTAAACCAGACACGTGAAGTCAGGAAGGTTTATTCCAGTAACCAGGATTTCTCTTTAGCTTGACAGTACAACAACGCCCGATCGCAACACATGGAAACAAAACATCCACAGGAAGAATTTCCACAAAATACATTAAAAAAAAAAGAAATAAACAGTGTGATTGGAAAACTCTTATTTTGGAGAGAAAAAAAAACAAGAGTCTATTGAGAAGCCTTTAAATTACACAGTGTTGGATTCAAACCCTGATCAGCTCTGTCTCCAGGAGTGAGCGGGAGCAAGGGAGGTGATTATTGCTTGCTGTGCTGGCTCTGGACACCCTCTCCTCTCCCGAAAACAGCCCCAGGGGCAGGGTGCTGTGGGGTCCCCACCATGATGGGCACCCGCGTCCCTCCCTGCAGCCAGAGGGACAAAGGGACATGGTTATCATGGACGGAGCTCACCAAGGCAGGGGCCGAACTGCTGGGGTCAGTGGCTGGGCAGGTTGGGGATGCTAAAAGTCACTCAAAGCCTCAGGTTTTGCAGCTAAAGGGCAAATGGGGGGATGGATATACTCAAATGGAGATGGGCTTTGTTTGGGATGGGGGAAGAATGAGGGAACAGCAGAAAGTGTTTGGTATCAGGTCACCCCAAATCCTTGATTCCCCCCACTTGTGCCTACCAGGGTGAGCAGGGTTAGAGGAGCACCCCAGGGATAGGCTCACAGGAAGGGGCACCCCCAGGCTCTCTCTAGCGCAAAACCCCCATCAGGACCCCACTGCCGGGATGCCCATTGGCCACTGAGCCCCATCGCTCCAGCCAAGGTGGTGGAAAGCAGCCCTGTACCCCGTGGAGCATGGAGAGGGGATGCAGGAGAGGTGGGTGCAAGGCCGGGGGGGGCCATAGGACCCTCACCCCCTCCCCGGGGCCTTCACAGGTTGCTGAACAGTTCATTTTTCTTGCTCCAGTCCATCTGGGGAGCCCGCTTGCTGGTGCGCTTCTGGTGTGCCCGCTCCTTGGCCACTGCCAGTGGGATGTCGAGGTCCAGGAGGGAGCCGGATGCTGAATGGCGCTTGTCACCCTCCTGTGCGTCAGACTGGGGGGGGGGGGGGGGGGGGGGCAAGAGGCTGCATCAGCCCCACTGTGCCCCCTACAACAGCCTGGACCCCACTTCCCAGCCACAGCCTCCCCCAGCACCCCCAGCCCTACCTTGCTGTGGGTATCGCTGGAGCTGGGGGACGTGGCCAACGGCCCGGGGCTGGACGGGCTCTCGGACACGGAGCTGGACCGCGGCTCTGCGCCGTTCTCCTGGGAGGGAGCAGGGAGCAAGCGTGAGCAGGGCAGCTTTGGGAATGGGCCCTGGAGCGGCGAGTTCCACACAGGGGGGCTGGGAAATCCGCCCTCCCCATGCATAATCCCCGGTGAGCCCCAGGCTCTAATGCCTCCAGTGCTGCCCGTCCGGGGAGGGGAAGGATTAAACCCCGGCCTGATTGCCCTGGCTTTAGCAGGAGGAGGAGGAGGAGGAGGAGGAGGGCAGTGAAGGGCTGGATGATACTTCCCTGGAGCAGCACAAGGGCTCCCAGCCCTGTAGTGCCATGAGGATGGAGGAGGAAGGCAGAACCCTCCATGACACTCAGCACCACAAGCAATCCCCTTTCTGCAGGGCACCAGCTCCCTTCACACTGGCAGCCCAGGAGCACTGTAGTCCATGGTGGCATCACCCACCCATGTGCAGAGGGGACCTAACCAGGCAGGGTCCCTGCCTGGGGACTGGCACAGATGGGCTGAAAAGCAAAGTGAGGTTCTTACCTTCCCTACATCGCCATTGACAACTGGCTCTGGCAAGGGACCTGCAGGACAAGGACACGGGTGCAGGGTGAGGATGAGCTTGCTCTGCCCCTCGCAACAGGGGCTGCAGTGTATGGCAAAGGCTTCATACCCAGCACTGCCCAGGTCACAGAGTTTTTAACCCACGATCACAGGCAGCCCCACAGCACATGGGAATGCTGGTGGGCAGGAGGCATATCCCCATGATGACAGCCCTGACAGGGAGCCCAGCGAGATCTCGCTGTCCTCACGGGTAGCACTGTGACAACAGGGAGGGGACCACGGCTGGGCCAAGGCTATGGAGGAGAGCGAAGGGCGGCTGCTGCCTGTTTGCTCCCCAAGCCATAAACCCTGCCAAAGTGCAACCCAGGGCCATAAACCTGCCTTCCCCAGAGCTGGGTGACCCTGCTTGTCCCCAGGGTGATGAGATCTCCACCTCCCAGGGCTCAGCACCCTCAGGTTTGGTGACACAGAGCCCATAGAGCTGGCACAAACCCCCCCACCTACCTGTGAGATGCTCTTCTGAGGGCACCACCTTGCACTTCTTGAAGAACTCATCGGTGAGGACATCCACCACCAGCAGCCTGGTCTCATCGCCGCTCGCCTTGATGGCTGCCACCACGTCAGCGTGCTGCTTGCCTTCCATGCACACTCCATTCACCTGTGGGCACAGCACTGCATCACTGCTGGAGCCCCAGGACATCCATCCCTCTAGAACGGGTACCGGTCATGGTACCAGTCACAGCCCCTGCACAGCCACCCCATAGCCCCCACAGGTACCCGCAGCCTCACAGGGA